CATCTTGACAAATTCTCACATACAAAGGCCAGACGCAGGGAGTTGCCTAAGACTGGCAGAAGACTGAGATAACAGAAGGCCCTCCATCACAAGCCTATCATGATGGAAGCAGCAACTAATAGCAATCTACAACTGGGGGCAGTGCAATTGTGGACTGAGCAACTTCCTTTGTAGCACAGGTGCGCAGAGACAGCTGGGAAACGCAAGGAAACTGTCATTGCAGGGAAACTGACAGTGAATCACAGATGCTGAAAACACACATACCCACAAAACCAGCATGCCAGGCCCATCCCTCAAGGCAATCACAGATGAATTTCAAGCATTTGTGTACTACTGGTAACCAGAGCAACAATAAAACTGAAAACAGTTTAATCTCTGACAACGTTGACTTAACTCCTTCACTAACAGCCTGACAAAGAAAAAAGTGCCCATTTTCAGCATGCATATTATTTGTATGTCTTTACTGTTGTATACATGATATTTAGTATTTAATCGAAATGTATGAGGGAAAATGGAAAGAAAATGCTATAGTCAGTAGTAAAAACAGTCAAGAAAGCAAACTCAGATGACCCATATGTTGCAATTGTCAGAAAGACAATTTTTAAAACCTTAATTAATATGTTAAAGAGTCTGGTGGAAAATAGATAACAGATGGGGGATTGAAATAGAGATAGGAACTACAGGAAAAGAAAATGTCAAATAGAAATGCAAGAAATAAAAACAGAATATTAGAAATGAATAGTTCCTTTTTGGGGGCTCAACATTAGGGCAAATACACCAGAAGAAAGTTTAGTTCTGTTTAAGAAAATTGAACTACAAAAGGAATACAGCATTCCCTGATATAAAGGAAAATATTAAACTGTCTGGCATTTGAGTAATTATTATCCCAAAGGAAGAAGCGAGGAAGAATCTAGGGGAGAAGTGCTTGAAGAGGTAATAACTGAGAATTTTCTAAAACAAATAAAATCCATCAATCTATGGATCCAAAAAGCCAGAGCACACCATAGAAAGGTACATATGAAAACAAAGAAAAATACCTACACACATTATAGTCAAACTAGTAATTACTAAGGATAAAAAATAAAATCTTGAAAGCAGATAGAGATAAAAACATACAGAGGAGTAAAGACAAGAACTGTAAGGCAAATGTCAGTATTTAACAATCAATTATGCAACACAATTCCTATCAAAATCCCAACAGAATTTTCCAAGGATATATACAAGCCTATATAAAAATGTGTACAAGAAGGTACATAAATTAATATGGCTAGAAAAATATTTTAAAGGAAGAAATTTGGAGTACTTACATTATAAAATTTTAAGATATTATTACCATAATTAAGTCAGTGGAGGACTAGAAATGGGATACACACATAAATCAGTGAAAAAGAATAGAGAACCAAGGAATAGAACTAAACAAATATATTTAATTGATTTTTGATAGAAGTGCAAATGCAAATCAAGAAAGAAAGGATGCCTCTTCAACAAATGATCTGGAACAACTGGACATCAATAATAAAAAAAACTTTGACACATACCTTATACCTTACACCAATAGTGACTCAATGCAGATCACAGATCTAATGTAAAAACTCTAAAACGGCCAGGCGCGGTGGCTCACGCCTGTAATCCCAGCACTTTGGGAGGCCGAGGTGGGTGGATCATGAGGTCAAGAGATCGAGACCATTCTGGTCAACATAGTGAAACCCCGTCTCTACTAAAAATACAAAAAAAAAATTAGCTGGGCATGGTGGTGCGTGCCTGTAATCCCAGCTACTCAGGAGGCTGAGGCAGGAGAATTGCCTGAACCCAGGAGGCGGAGGTTGCGTGAGCCGAGATCGCGCCATTGCACTCCAGCCTGGGTAACAAGAGTGAAACTCCGTCTCAAAAAAAAAAAAAAAAAAAAAAAAAAAAAAAAAAAAAAAAAACCTCTAAAACTTACAAAAGAGAACATAAGAGGAATCTTCTTGATACAGTGTTAGTTAATGAGTTTTTAGACATGATACCAAAGTCGTGATCTGTAAAAGAAAAATAAATTGATAAAACAATTTTGACTTCATTATAATTAAAAACTAGCTTTACAAGTTCCCGTGGGTCTATAGTTATTTCAAGTAATAAAATAAAATAAATAACTGTATTTTTATAGACTAGCAATGAAAAAGCCATTTATGAGTTATATTTTAGAGCTTTGTACACTGATGAATACAAAATATTGATGAGAGTAATAAAAAAAGACCTAAACAAATGAAAATCTATTAGCTTTTGACAAGATTAATTCTAAATTTATATGGAATAGCACAAATACTAGAATAGCCAAAACAATTTGGAAAGTAAGACCAATTCTGGAGACTTCACACCACTTGATTTCAACATTTACAGCTGCAGTAAATTAGAGGATATCTTATTTGTGGACAATAAATAAGTAAATGAAAACTGCTCGAAATCATTAGTCATTAGAGAAATGCAAACTAAACCAAACACAGACAACCCACCCCTCACCAAAACAATAGGTAACACCAAGTACTGATGATAATGGGAAGCAAGTGGATTCTTAATCACTGTGGGAATGTGAAATGACACAGCTACTTTGGAAACAGTTGAGAGGTTTCTTGTACAGCTAAACATACTCTCACCTTTTGAATCAGCAATCACACTTCAAGGGTTCACTCAGGAAAAATGAAAATGTACATCCACAGAATAACCTTTACAAGGAAGTTAATAGAAGTTTTATTAATAACTGTCTCAAACTATAAACAACTCTAATGTTCACTGACTAGTAAACAGATAAGCCAGTTGTGTGGAATATGAGTGAGCAATAAAAAGAATGAAAAAAATTATATATTCAATTTTAAACTGAATTACATTAAGTGAACTATCCCAAATTCAAAGCCTATGAACTGCATAACTCCATTTATTGATGTTTTGGAAAAACGAACTATTAGGACAGAAAATACATCAACTGTAACCTGAGCCAGGAGGTCAGTTAATTGAGTTGAACATAAAGGGACACAAGAGAATTTTGGGGGAGTGAGTGAATTGCTCTGTATCTTGTGGTTGCAATGGTTACATAACTGCATGAGTTTGTAAAAATTCACAGAACTGTATACTCAGATAGGGTGAAGATCTCAATAAGTCTGGCCTAAATTGAACTATAAGAAACTAAGATAGAACCATTCTTCACACAAATCCACAAAGAGGAAAGAAGTTTCCTCGTGCAGAGGTCAGTTAGTGAAATAGGGGCTAGCCATCTATAGAGGACTGCTGAGACCAGAGTAGTGAGTGACCCCCAAAAACTCCTTGACAAAGAAAAGCAGCAAAGTGGAAATATCTGAGGACATATTTGGAATATACAAGAGGAAATACTATGAGAATCTTCCCCAAATTACTGGAGGACTTTTTCAGCTAAGATACTTGCTGACATATGGGTGAAACCACATGCTCTAATAGTGTTAAAATTGTGATTTTTATTCATGCTTTGGTGATACCAGGAGCATATAGATTTTATAAATCACCCACACACTCTCACACACAAACACATATATCAAATTTATATTTACATCTATTATTTTCAAATCTGTGTGATTTTTTTTTTTTTGAATGGCAAAGCCAAGAAAACCATGCCAGAGTGAAGACTTTAGAACAACTGTTTCTATATGAAGGCAAGAATAACATGCAGAATTGTTTCCACAAATGTGAGCATGGTAATTGTGATCATTTTGTTCTGTTGTTTGTAAGTGTTCTAAAATGAACATAATATCATCTGTTCTCACACTGAAAGAAGCTGAAGTCTCTTTTGGATTTTGAACATTGAATAGAAATAAAGAGTTAAGGGAGGGAAAAAATGTAGCTGAGTTATATTGTTGAATATTGAAACATTAAAATATGCAAAAATCGTCCAGGTAGCAAATGTATTGGGGGATCACAATTGTAACCTGGTGCCTAAAATTATCTTACATTCTAGACATCCTTACGGTTCCTGTGTTGCAGTCCAGTCTCAGTGAGTCCTGGCTATGCTGTAGTTATATTTTTAAATCTTGTTTTTGCATTGCCATGAGATCTTGGAAAATTAAAATAAAAATTAAGGTGACCTCAGTCTGTTTCTGTCTTATATGTTTTAAAATAATCTACCCAGGGCCGGGTGCGGCGGTTCATGCCTGTAATCCCAGCACTTTGGGAGGCCGAGGCAGGTGGATCATGAGGTCAAGAGATCAGACCTTCCTGGTCAACATGGTGAAACCACGTCTCTACTAAAAATGCAAAAAATTAGCTGGGCATGGTGGCGCGTGCCTGTGATCCCAGCTACTCGGGAGGCTGAGGCAGGAGAATTGCCTGAACCCAGGAGGCAGAGGTTGCGGTGAGCCGAGATCGCGTCATTGCACTCCAGCCTGGGTAACAAGAGCGAGACTCCATCTCAAAATAAGAATAAGAATCTATCCAATGGTTGAATCAAGAATTCTGTGTCTTGTTTTATACTCTAATAACTAGGTTTAATCCCTGATTCAGATACCAAGTGTCAAATATATATTCCAGACCAAATTCAGGAATAAATATTTTATTCTTGCCCCACTCAAGATTTCTAGAGACTGCCACTTTCATTTCAGTTCCCCACAATGATTTAAGTTCTGCCTGGTAATTTAACTTCCGTTATTAGAGACGCAGCACCTGCTGCTGGGTCAGCCTGTGTCCTTTTATACAGAGTACCTTCAGCCGATTTATATCTATTCTTCAATTATATTCCAAGACAAACTCTATCACTGATGGGCAAAATTGCTTATTACCTATTTCCTGCCATCATAAATTCTGCACATCACGCTCCTGTACAGTCAGATTTCCTCCTATTGCGTGTAACTGGTTACAGCTTTGCTTTAACCAAATTCTTTTTTACCATCTCCTCCCTGAGAACACAGAAAGACTGTATATTCTAGCCTATTGTGAGGTTATCTGAGAATGGTATGAGTAGTTCTAGTCAATGACCTGTGAAAGGAGGTCCGATGTGTCATTTAGGGGTTATAGAGCAGCTGAGAGTACTCTACATTTTCTCTTCCTCTGCAATAGTGATTGTGCAGTCAAATGATGAGATGGTTAAGCCAAGGGACGGAAAAAAGCAAAACAAAACCGGATTGCCAATACACATGGAGAAGGAGCCTGGGGAGTAGCCTGAGCTGAATTGTAAGTGTAGCATGAGTGAGAAAAAAGCCTGTGAAGTGTTAAACCACTGAGGTTTTGGAGTTTGTTACTTATATCACTGCTTGTCTGTCTTTAGTTCATAAATCTCTCTAAGGCCTGCCTGTCACACATAACTACAAACCTGTTAATTCTGTAGACCAATTCCAAATTTGTACTGCTAAAAATACCCTTGAAGAGTCATGGTATGCCACTATACCTATGAGATCCCCATAGTGCTCAATAAAATTGTGAATTAGATTATATTTGTTTTTGCTGATTAAGTTCCCCCATCAGTGCTACCACATCCCCTTTTCAAACTCCACTAAAGGTCTTTCTACTCTTAAGAGTCTTTATGTTTAATAATATGAGTTGAGTTCTACTTTTATTATAATATCTGAGAGTATTTTAACAAAGAAATGAGAATCTGTTTATTGGAATTTTGATAGTAATGCATAAGGAATTCATCTGGAGGTTGCACATGTCATCCTATCTTAGACCTTATTACAATGAATATTTTTCATCATCAGATCTCTCTGGTATTGATCTATAAGAAAAAAAAGTGAAATGTAAGAAACTGAAAAAAAAGTACCAATCTGGGACTTCAAAATGCTGTAGAATGAAATTTCAGTCCTCTAAAATTAGAAGGATATTTCAGTTTTCAATCTTTTATTTTAAATTCTGTTGTATATAATTATATATAATTATTATTTCTGTATATGTTGATATGTATATAGAATAAATTAATATTATATTAATTAAATGTACTATATATTCTACATTTCATTATATATATAATTAAAAAGTTGGGTAGAAGGTGACTGGGTACATTTTCACATCTAGTCACATGTAAGCCATTTACAGAGGCTTCAAATTCCATTGCACATATGACTTTTCAAAGGTCAATGTATGTTGAATGATACATTGACTGTTTTAATAATAAAATTCTCATGCAACAATATTCTTTTTCATTACATTACTTCAAAAAGATGAACTAGGTGCTAATATATAGATTATTTGCAAAATTAATATATAAAGAGATAATTCCCTATTTTTATTTTGTGGCAGTCAGATAATCTAAATCTAAAGTGCTAAATAGATTTTCTGCAATTCTTTAGCATTAGTTGCAAGTATTTATGCTCTGTAAAGTTAATAAGATTTGTAATCATATGGCATTTCTTTATGACTTGGTTTTTAATTAGGGTGCAATATTAAAATATCACTAAGTAATAAAACTGCAAAAGAAATTATTTGCCTTCTTTGATAATTTACAGAATATTTATTATTGCAGAATATTCTCTTTTAGTCAAGCTTAATTGAGAAATAGAGTAGGAAATGAAAAATCCACAGAAACCTGTAGAGTTCTACAGTTCATAAAATTAAAGCATGAAAAACAATCTGATTTAAAATATGCTTATTATGTGTTTTAAATATCTGCTGATGTTCATGTTTTTCTATCTCCAACACTACCCCTTTAGTTCAATTATCTTATTCATCTTACTTTACTTATCATCCGAACTGGTGTTGACTTTTTATTCTCCTTTATCTTCAGAAGTCAACCAGAGTGAACATTTTAAAACATAAATCCTATCATGACAATTTCTTTTCAGTTCTATTGGCTGTTGCCCATTTTCACACCTATCCAGAGCCTGAAAACTGGAGACTATTTACTAGATGTCTTTGCCAAAAGGGTTCAGAAATTACTTAGATTCTACCCATATGATACAGCCTTACAGGACTAGAGAAGCAGAGCAGTAGAATACATTCTTTAATGGCAGAGGCAATGGACAAGTGGACTGGAGCATGCATGAGATTTTGCAGTGATTAACCTGACTTTATTTCCCTCTTTGAGGTCATAGGGCTGAGTTGACATTGGTGGTTGCTTTTTCAACTTTACCGACCTCTGTTTTACAGCAACTTTTTTTTTTTTAACATAAAAAGAAAACCTCTGTAGCACAGACTGAGGGCACCTGAAAGATAATGATGGTCTTTTCTGGAGTTTGCTCTTTCAGTTATTCTAACAGATTTGTTAGTAATTATTTCCCTGTATAAAATAGCTTCTGTCTGAAATACATAGACTGTTTTCTAGTTTCCTAACTTAATACTGACTCGTACTTACTCCTTAAAATTGCCAGTGGCTTTCTATTGCTTTATGCATGAAGCACAAAATACTTTACAAGGTTCTGGTCCAGCCGTGTCTAGTACCAGTCATCCATGTTTTGGAATTCTACAGCTGCTGAAGTCTTCACAAAAGCTCTGAACACTATTATAGTTTTCTTACTTCTGGTATCGATCAGCATGCCTAATCCTGCCAGGGCAGAAATAAATCACTACTTTCTAATATCTTCATTTCTAGTTCGCCCTTTACAATCTCTTCTAATAACGTTGCCAGAATTTTTTTCTTAATATTTTCCTGCTGAGAACATGTAATTATTCCCTAATGTCTACTAAAGAAAATACAAACTTGATCTTTGAAGTCAAATCACTGCTCTACATTATCCACATAAATATGTGTGTGTGTGTGTGTTTAATGATTATTAAATCCAATCAGTTAACCAGTTAACCGCAATATAAGACTATATTGTGGACCAAATATAAATGAGAAGTATCTCCAAAGATGCCTGGCCCTGTCATTTAGACAGTTCAGAACTCAGGTGCTTTTTCTTTCTTTTGTGAAACATAGGTATATTATAATGTATAGCTTATATAGCTGTTTATATTATATTATATTATATTATATATTATATTATATATTATATTATATTATATTATATTATATTATATTATATATAATGTATAATGATGTATAATATAGTCCAGAAAGGACCAGCATTACTTTCCTGGGTTGAGCCCCAGGTCCCCATGCTGTGTGCATCCTAGGGACTTGGTGCCCTAGGTCACAGCCACTCCAACCATGGCCGAAAGGGACCAATGTAAAGCTTGGGACATGGCTTGAGATGGTGCAAGCCTCAAGCCTTGACAGTTTTCATGTGGTGTTGAGCCTGCAGGTGCACAGAAGTCAAGAATTAAGGTTTGTGAATCTCTGCCTAGATTTCGGAGGGTATATGGAAATGTCTGAGTATCCAGGCAGAAGTTTGCTGCAGAGGTGGGGCTCTCATGGAGAACCTCTGCTAGGGCAGTGCAGAAGGAAAATGTGGGTGGAGCCCCTACACAGAGTCTCTACTGGGGCACTGCATAGTCGAGTTGTGAGAAGAGGGTCACTGTCCTCCAGACCCCAGCATGGTAGATCCACTGACTGTTTGCACTGTGCTCCTGGAAAAGCTGTGGACATTCAATACCAGCCCATGAAAGCAGCCAGGTGGGAGGCTGTATCCTGCAAAGCCACAGAAGCAGAGCTGCATGAGACCATGGGAACCCACCTCTTGCATCAGTGTGGATGTGAGACATGGAGTCAAAGGAGATCATTTTGGAGCTTTAAGATTTAACTGCCCCGCAGGACTCTGGACTAGCATGGGGCCCGTAACCCTTTTGTTTTGACCAGATTCTCCCATTTGAAATGGTTGTTTTTACCCAATGCCTGTACCTTCGTTGTATCTAGGAAGTAAGTAACCTGCTTTTGATTTTATAGGCTCATAGGCAGAAGGAAGTTGCCTTGTCTTGAATGAGACTTTGGACTGCGGATTTTTGAGTTAATGTTGAAATGAGTTAAGACTTTGGAGGACTGTTGGGAAGGCACGATTAGTTTTCAAATGCAAGTACATGAGATTTGGGAGGAGTCAGAGGCAGAATAGTATGGTTTGGCCACATCCCCACCCAAATCTCATCTTGAATTCCCATGTGTTAAGGAAGGGACCTGGTGGGAGGTAATTGAATCATGGGGAAGTTTTATCTGTGGTGTTCTTGTGACAGTGAATAAGTCTCACAAGAGCTGATGGTTTTAAAAAGAGGAATTACCCTACACAAGCTCCTCTCTTTGCCTGCTGCCATCCATGTAAGATGTGACTTGATCCTCCTTGCATTCTGTCATGATTGTGAGGCTTCCACCACCATATAGAGCTATAAGTCCAATTAAACCTCCTTCCTTTGTAAATTTCCCAGTCTTGGGTATGCCTTTATTAACAGCATGAAATGACTAATACAGGCCTGGTGGGAGGTGAATGGATCATAGAGTTCTCATGAATGGTTTAGCACCATCTCCCCTTGGTATTGTATAGTGAGTTCTCATGAGATCTGGTTGTTTAAAAGTTGTATCACCTCCCCCATCTCTCTCTTCCTCCTGTTCCAGTCATGTGAAGTGCCTCACTCCCCCTTCACCTTCTGCCATGATTTCAAGTTCCACAAGGTCTCCCTAGAAGCTGACGTCACCGTGCTTCCTGTACAACCTGCAAAATGGTGAGTCAATTAAACCTCTTTTCTTGTGAATTACCCAGTCTCATGTATTTCTTTATAGCAATCAGAGAATGGTCTAATACATATGGCCATAGAATAATTCAGGTGGTCTAATTTCTTTGAAGATATATCATAGGGGAACATAGAATTGTGATCCAAATACATGCAGTTCTATCAACAATAACCCTCTGTTCTTCATTTTAAAAGTGAAATAGTTGAGATTCAAACAGACTCAGCCACAAAAGCTTTTAAGAGTGAAAAGAAATATCTATTTTTCTTTTGACTACCAAGAAAATAATGAGGCTAAACTCATTAAAATTTCAGCATGGAATCAAACCCTAGTTTTTCTATATAATCCAACTACATAAATCAAATGAAGTAATTTTATGTAAATAATAAGTGAATGAACCACATACTGAATAAGCTCCATATTCTTGAAATTTTTCTACAGCTTTAAAATGAAACTTTAATTGAACATTTTTGCTTTTATAGTTGACTACTGTCAACCAGTGAGGTGGCTGCTTGATATGTTTTGCTCTGGCTGAGTGTGAAAAGAAAAGGAGGTTTGTGGGGGAGATGGCTTTTATTTCTATATAGATGTTGGCAAAAATGGAAAGCAGAGGACTGAAAATTACTAGTTAGGTACTGTACATCCTGTTTGTGAAAAAGGTCCTTTTTCACATGAATGTCAATGAGAATTCTCTTTATCCTTAAATTTTCTAGCACATAGTGTCAGTATATTATTCTGACATTCATTATAACAAAAGAAATGTTGAAATTATGAGTTTTAGTGTAAAATCCTTCTGTGTACTAGTTCCTCTAAAGGTGTTTTGTTTTGCTGATATTATAGTTATTCATATTGAGTACCCAGTCTTGCTTTAGTTTGTATTATTTCTTTTATTTGGGACCACAAGAGTCACTTAAAAGAAATAGTGATATGTTTCTTTTGCCTGACAGTCATCAATATTTTAGGTGACTAACTCCATTTTTGCCGCATAAATTTATTCATAAAATGTTCTTTGTTTTACTATGATATCTCATTGTTCTCTAATAAAAATAGGCTTTCACTTTATACAGATGTATAATACGGTAAATTCTCCACAGTAGTAAAATGTATTTAGAATATGACTTATAGAATAGCCTTACCTTAGAGAACTAGCCTTGTTAAGCTTTAGAAGTTACAGAGAGCAGTGTCTGTATTCTCAGTTATTTAAGAGCAGTTGGTTAAAAAGTGACTATATAATGATATCCAATGATGATAGATCATCTATAGCTGTTTCATGCATTGCATTGGAGGATATGTAAATTTATCTGAAAAGTAAAATGTACCTTGATACCTATGTAGGTAGCAGAGGAGCTATAACACTTTGTGAAATATACATAAAACTTAAAGCATTATGTTTTTTAAAAAATAAGTGATTATGTTTTACTGTGTTTTATTTCTCTACAGACATGAAAATTAGTGTTTGCTTCCCAGAGTAATCTTCAAATTAGATATAGTCTTAAACTAAACAGACACCCAATTCTTGAAATAAACACACACACATGAATGCACACACACACACACACACACACAGGCATACACCCACACTATAAAAGATATATAAATAAACATGGAGCTCATTCCTGGGAAAAAAATGCCATCTACTTTCTGAAAGTCCTTATTTGATTCAATAAAAAATGAAGTAAGCATATAAATTTCTATGAGTATTGACTATCAGGGAAAAAATTTTTATTCGAAAATAAAAACATACTTTTTCAAAAGTATTTTCTGAATATATTGAATTTTGAAGTGTCAAATACTGAAATAAAGGTATCAGTGCCCATATTTAGGGAGAAGATATCCCTTAAAAACTTAACAACTGAATTGTTTTTACAATACTCAGTCAATGTCCCAGACTCCCTCTCCCTAGTGAGTGTAACTAGAAAAACAGGAAGGATGGTCACTGGATTCCTGAAGGGAAAACCACAGCTTTTTCCTCCTACATTAAAAGAGAAGGATTTATTCTTCCTTAAAAATCCTACTCAGTATGTCTCAAAAATATTCAATGAAATGGGGATGTCTAAAACTAAGAGGGATAAATATTTCGCTTTCCTTTGGCTGTATGCTTTTACCAAACTATGATCTATTTATTTTGTCTCCGTGACTAAAGATTAAAGAGAGTGAGAGAGAGCCAGCAGGGCAGAGAGAAGTGGCAGCATGAAGCAGTCTGCATGCCCGTCATTTGGCAAGAGAAGGACTGTTAGCCCCCCATGGGTTAAGTGGCAATGAAAACCAGCTGGGCGTGAGATGTCTTGCTGGTAGGCTGCCTAAGAGCACCAAGCAACAATAGATTGTGTGGTGGGCTGCCAAATGCAGGATCTGGGAAAGGGAAAATTATGTGAGCTAGAATGAATTTCCCACATTAAGTTGCAGTGCTGTGAAGAAGTTACTTACAGTTTACCCTGAAATAACTGGCTCTACAAGGATGCTGGCATTTGGGCACTTACCATGTACAAGGCATTGAGAGGCAGCAAGGCTGGACATGAGCACACTAAGTCTATACCACTTTCATGATATTCACATGTCTTTTGTATATCTCCTATCCCTCCTAATTCTGGCACTACAAATTTCTTTCTTTTACCTACTGAAATTCACTATAAGTTTTCATTTTGAGAAACAGTGCCCCCCACACACACATTCAAATATAATAAAAAATTATAGAATTAATTTTCTATAAGCAACCAGGTGGAAAATTCTACAGCTTCATGCAGTTAAACATCACACAAAGAAGGAGGAGAGTGTCAGTACTGAAAAACTTACACAGGATGTTTGCTTGTTGAAAGGAGAAACTCACATCTAACTTTCTCACTGGAAGTCACCTTAACATTTGGGGTTACTGCCTTGTAGTGTCACATACTAGGAAGGTTTGTGTAGGTGTATGTATACATAGATACACACAAATATGTCTGTGTGCCATATATACATGATATTATACAAATATGTAATTATGTTTGGTTATTTTTCAGAGAAGAGATAAAATATTAGCAAAAATACTGCTTTTACTTTTTCTTTACAAAACCTATTTTTTAAACTTTGGGTTAATGTTTTAATTGATAATGTCAGCTGCAAAGATAACTGGCTCTACTGTAAGTTATGCAAGCCTTAGAGACATTATAGAGACTTCTGAAATAAAACCTTTTAAAATTAATAAATATACATTGGCCATGTCATAGCCCTTTACATTTCAGTTACAACACTAACTAGATAAAATATGATAAATATAACTATGATTAATTATCCAGATATTTTAATATATAACTTTATATTATACAAAGAAAACAATACATTTTGAGAAATGTGTATACAAACAGACACATTTCTGCATAGATGTATTTTTATTCTTCAAAGCATGTATGTAATAATTGGAAAATGTAAAACCTTCTCTTTTCTGTGTCTTCATATGGATATAGAAGAGAGAGAAATTTACTTTTATACTACCTATTGTCTTAAATGATCTTGAATAATTAAGTCCAGTTTTGAAATTTTATTACTACACCATTATTTCTTTACTAATTTTTGGATTTTTAACTCTGCTTTGATATTTAAGATATTTTACATCTTTATTTCTTCTGAAAGTATAACATGTCTGGGATATAATATATAATAGAATATTAGTAACTTTAATAAAATGACCACAAATTGGAGAAAATCATATCAAAATTCCTTGGTATTAGAACACATTGCTTATTGTTGAGACTTCGTGAATCTCAAATGCCTATCTCAATAGTTAACACTTATAATTTTCAACCTAACTTAATACTTTTTAAGGTAAGCTAATTGGATTGCAAATATTTATGATGAAAGATAAAAATTAAAAAAACTCATCTTTCTATACCCATTTTTATAGGTCCTAAGGATACATAAATATATATGGAAATATATATGTAGTATATACCATATATTATATAGACAAGTATATATATGGTACATATTTGTGCTGTGTATGTATACTATATACAGTAGTCAGTCTTGGATCAAGATCATTCAATTTCTACATAAATATTACAATTGTATTATGTGAACTATGCTGCCAAATTAGATTCCAATGAAATGTAAACTAAGTAGAGACTAGAGGAAACGTACAAAAAATAGTGAAAAATATATGCATTGTTTTCCTATAAAATTTATGGATTTCCATTGCAAATTATTATCTCACAAATGCATTGTAATTACATGCATCCATGAGTAGACTTGTAATTGACACAGAAAAATTCCATATCTGGAGTGGTATTTACCTGAGCATGTAGTATGGGATGGGAACTAATTGGTAAAAATCAAACAGCAAGATGGAGAGGCTGGGTGCAGAGTGGACTTTATTAGCAAGCTATATTAAGATGTCAAGCATGAAATTAGTGGAATAGAGAGTATGTTTGGGGAAGAAACAGAGGTTAGAACTTGGTGAGTAGAATGAGAAAGTGAGCACATAAGAAGGGGCAGCTATCCATCCTACACTATGACTAAAGTGTCTATAATCATACAAATAAAGAGTATGAAAATTTACAGTTTGAGTAGAAATATAACACATGCAATTTAAAATTAATTGTTTGGCTTTTAAAGAACATGTCACAAATATCTCTGTTTTTATATTTGTGCATCTTATTTGAATTGTTTTTAGTTTCATATGGTATTATAGGAAGATGTCAAACATTTGTTGATACAGTTACTTTAAAAGTGCCCAGACATACACAAGGATGCTTTGAGAGAAAAAAGCATGTTCCAACTACATAGAGATATACAATTGCATTTTCAAAATAGCAATAAAAACAACTGATTTTTTACAGTAGAGAAATTATTTATAAATAAGTGTGTGTATTATTCAAAGTGCTTCTAACTTTTTGGTGTACAAATTACTATAGCTACCCTTATTATTGACTATATGTAAAATGTTTTTAAATTAAAATCTAAGGTTTCAGTGGTCATATGATAATTTTTTTCAAATATCTTTCTCAAAATTTGTAAA